TCTACATTAGTGTTCGTTTGAAAGTGCAGGTGGATAGAGAGAGGTGAGTAGCTTGAATAAAGCGATATCGAATCATAAAATCCTGAATCAACTTTTAAATATAAATGTATTTTGCCAGAAACGCCAGAATCTCAGGTTAAAGCTCACAAAACTATTTCAACAACCACCAAACAGCTAAAACATCAAATGAGAGCGGGTAAACGGATTCTGCACAAAGACATAAACACAAAGCGCGGACCCGACGCATCAGAATCAGTGAGATGGCGGCTTTCTCACCCAACGGCACGTACACGGACACACCATCGGTGCTGAAGGCCGAGAACTCACAGTTTCTGATGCCTTGGGTCCTTGTTTTGTGTTTATGTAGCCTAGGCCCGACAGAAGTGGATGTAGCTGTGGGTAATGAGAAAAGATGACTTTTTCGTTAAGTTAAGCCCTGATCCGTCTGAAATTCATAGCCAGTGCTCTGACACGGAGCATCAACCTCTGAACGCTGAAAAAGCACAGTGTATCCAGAAAACACATTAAATGCCATGATAAATGCAAGTGTCCCCTCTCCCCGCTGCCTTTCAGCGCTGGTGAGAAGAGGTCGTCAGAGGAGGCCGATGTGAGTTTAACATTGTCTACAATATTGCCAAAGAGTGCCAACACACTTTAAGCACAAGCACTTTTTGAGTAACTTATCTTTCTTTTAGAACTGTGCTCCAAATAAAGAACTTTGTGTTGACAAGATTGTTAGTTAATCATTTATAAATCAATCTTGTCTGTATGGACAGCGAATAGTGAACATGTAAAACAGTGGGGTTAAGCAATGCAGTTAATAAAGTTGGGCGCACCAATGCAACTGTGGCAGAAGGTTAGTCTAGAGCCCTGTGAGTTCCTCTGAGCTGAGCAGCACTGTTAGCTCACTGCACACTTCCTATGGTTGGTGATTGTAGCTCAGCACAAAGACACAAAGCTGCTAACAAGGACTGAGTGTTTGTTTTTTTAGGTACTAGGTAGGTACTGCTTTTATGAAAGGAAATATGATAACTTTTCTTGACATTAATGAAGCAAGTAAACAAGCAAATAAGTAAGTATGTCACTATATGTAATATTCAAGTACGAAAATAACCCTTTTAAAGCCAAGTACACCATATTTGATACATGGGTTTTTGTTTCTGAGACTTCATGACACTTCTATCATCAATGTAATTTTTTTTCTCCCCCAAAAACCAACATACATTGTACGTGTACACTGTACCTTTTACAGTACGTCAGAAAATGCTTGATGTAGCAAATATACTACAAATGAAAACTCATTCATATATATTTTTTAAACTAGAATTAAAAAAATTAGAATTATTATTTCGTGTTTCAGGCTTCAAAGGGTTAAGTATGTATTTCAGCAAGTATGCAAGCATCCATGTATATATGTAAGTAGGCATCTGTGTAAGTAAGCATGTAAGTAAGCTATTAATCCATTATATATGCCAGTAAGTATGTAAGTAATTAAGCATGTATATAAGTACGGTAAGCAGTTATGGTGTAATTAAGTACAATTGAATATACTTACACAGTATTCATGTGAGAATGTAAATATGCCTGTAAGTATCTACCAAGTTTCAATATATTTATTGGTAAGGAGACAACTTTCTTGCAGTCAACATCTCCAAAACTGAGCAACTTCAAGAGCACTCCAGATGGATAAATGGCTCTGCAGACTTGAAGGGATACATGCAAATTTGATTTGAAACATAAAAAGCTCCTTTTAAAGGAGAGTGTGATAAACATACTTTCAGCCCTAAAACGCTGAGTATTTAATGGACAGAATATGAACTGGAACAAGGACCCATATCTGCTGTTTTGCAAAGCTTCTTCTCCAGTTTCATTAGCGACTGTATAATGTAAGCGCCCTGATAACAGTCCAGGACCATTCGAAGACAATTTGAGTTGGATTATCAGCCAGTTTTTCTTTCTCAACACTTCCTCCCTCTTGAAAAAAAACTCTCCAAAAATGGCTGTGGAAAAATACTATTCTAAGCCGACTGTTGCTTGCCAAAACAAACATAACAAACCTCGACAACAACGCACCCTGAGCCATTTACTTCATTTACATCGTTTGGATTCTTTGAACCCTAAACCCCCACCCGAGGCCAGCTGTCTATTTTTAGCTCTTTGCACTTTTAATGCTTGAAAGACTGAATTGTCTGGGTTTCAAAATTTAGCATTCAGTTGCCTAGCAACCACAGTCTCCTCGAGGCTTGTCAGCTGAAGCCGGATCACACCGTCTCCATCTTGCTAAGAAGCAGAGGGATGAAAAGAGAGCCGGAGGGCTGAACGTTACTGTGCAATCCCCGAGATAATATCCCCCGAGGTCCAGGGCAGGGTTTTTAATCACACTCCAGATTATGCAATCGCTGTCAAGCGGCCGGCTGAGAAGGGGGACTGCAACCTGAGGCTCGGGCCGTGCTCACTGCTGTGCCTTATACTACCTGTCCAGCCTTTTTACATCTTCATGTCTCCAGTCTATTAGCACAGCTTCCCCATGTGCACTTGTCCCTTTGTAAGAGATAATGAGGGAAATCTGTTTGCAGCCAGGAACTCAATAAAGGTCATGTGTCATCAGATTAAAAAAAACATAAAACTGGTTACAAATGGAGCACTGGGGTGGAGATACAACAAATCTCATTATTTTATCTCAGGAGTGCGAAGTATGAGCACCTCTACTGTAAGGGTGTGTGGCAGACTGAGGGACAGTGAGCTACCTGTATCTCACCTGTATATCTGTTTTCATCATCACGCAACAGAAAAAAAAAGCAATTAAAAACATTTTTATCTTATATGTAAAATGATGGGTGCGTGTCTCCTGGCGGCGTTGATTAATTCTGACAGCCTGGGATGAAGGCATGGTTAACTATCAATCTGGAGGCTATAAATACCGACGGGTTATTTAAGATGAGATTTTGCACTTATTGTGGATTTGCAGAGACATTCTAAAATAAATAAGACGATGATTGGTGGTATATTGTTTTTATCTTAAATTACTGCTTCAAAATAATTTCCCGAATTGCTGCTTAGAGGTGTTTCAACATGGCTTCAGAGGAGCAGTCTTGCCCCTGGTCGGCACAGGTTTTGTGCAGATGTCATTGCCCGAGGAGCGCTTGAACTCCTCGGGCAAGGAGAGAAGAAATTTCACAAACTCACTTGTTGTAACTGTGGCATCCTATTACAGCAACACGCTCAAATTCAGTGAGCTCTTTAACAACAACTCGTTCTTCTGCAAACGTTTGTGAAGGCAGACTGCATGACCAGGTGCTTGACCCTATACACCTGTGGCAATGACACCTGAATTCAAAGATGAAGAGGTGTGGCCCAATACTCATGTCCCTGTACTGTGTTTATTTATTTTTAAGCTGCACATCCAGATTAGGCAGAACAGGTTTTGGGTGGCATTTGGTGAGGAGTGTGGTCTTGGCAGGCCATTTGCATGGAATATTATTAGCATAACTTGCCCAAAGACCAAGCTTGAAATTTTGTCCTCAGCTTCCAACAATAACTGTTCAGTTTGCATACAATACAGGATTGTGACTGACAGCCTAATATTAGAACAGCCATAGAGGGAATGCAAATGATACAGAGATACTCAATTGTATTCTGTCAGAAGGGCAACAGATTTTTCATTGAGCAGCCGTGTTATTTTATCTACTCTGTGCTATTCTCCCCGCACAACAATGAAGAGATTTCCTCTCCGATCTGAATTTTTAATAATAAAAGTGTCAGCTGTGATGAATGCAGCTCATGTCAGCCAGCCAGCTAATCAGCCTGAGAACCAGAGAAGCAGAAGTCCCATTACGGCTGCTCAGCGGCTGCATGTCTCAGTAATAATTTCATGAAGGGCAGTTAGAATCCATCCGAAGCGTTCAGGGCCGACCAAAGCTAAGGAAGCAAAGAAAGTAACTGGGCATTTGTTAGAGACAGACTACCTCAGAAAATCTAATCGGATCTTCACTCTGCCGGTCTTCTTATGGGCTTCATCCATCTCCTCTTTTCAGTGCACGAGCTTGACACGCAAACTACACACTCATGACAGCAAACACAATGCCTACTCTGTGTGACCTTTCAGTTCACCTGCAGGGGAGAAGCACATCTCTAGTAGACTTCTTTTTTTTACCTGCGTACACACACACACCCACACACACCCACACACACACACATACACAAATACATAAGAACTCCCGTCAGGCAATAACTGCTGAACCACACTATAAATCAGATCACAGACTGTGCCTATAAATAACCAAACAAAATCCGTAACCCCAAATAAATTTGGCTTTTGCAGTAATACACAGCCTCCACTGTGGGTTGCTTCCTTGAAGTCCTCTTCTGACCTCCTGTGACTTCAACACAGGGTTCAAACTTGCACCTGAAAGATCAGGGAGTGTCCACACCAAAAGAGGGGGTCACACTTTCAACACAGAGCACAACTGTAACATCCCAAGAAGTCTGGGAGAACATTTGTCTCAGATGACTTGAACTGTTGTGCGTAAAATCATGTGCTGGCACACAGCTCATTGAAAAGCCATGTTTTTGTTTGAACAAATTACAATAAATGCCAACAACCTGTACTTCCTACAAGTTTTGGCTCCCTGCTACTTCATCTTAGGAGATCCAGTTGCCAATACAAATATGCACCTGCAGGTGGAAAAGTGGGAATTCCAGGGAGCAGGAGAATCAGAGGTGGTGGTGGTCACTGTTCAGGTGGGGCGGGCGCCCTCATACACAATCAGACAGCATAGCTTGCTCTCTATATTCCTAACTAATGACTGCCTCAGTGTATAAAACTGTTTTATTTCAGTTTTAAGAAAATGTAAAAATTCACTGTTACAGAGCATATAGGGGTTTTTTAAGGCATTATCTACGTGGAATAAGTGGAAGGAAGTACAGACAGTGTTGTGGAGCTTGCTGGTGTGTCCTGGAGAAACAAGCGGCATCTATTTAGGAAAAGAATGGTGACTCACCTGCTCGGGGCTGATCCAGATCCAGGCTCTGGTTGTCTGAGTTCTCCTGCATTAACCTTCGTGTCCATTGTAGCGTCTCACCATTCACGCCTGGCTGAAACCCCAAAGACTCTGTCTCTGTTGCAAAACAACACGAGCCATTTTAGTGTAAAAGCAGCCAAATGAACAGGCCTCACAGGACTCCAGATTCAGAAGGTGCTTTGATTTAGAGTCAATACCAAAAACTATTCTCACTAATGTTTTGCACTGCATGTTGATGGATTGTTTCTTTAATTAGCCGACGACAGGACAAACTGCTTATTGATCTTTTCAAGCAAAAATGTCAAACACTTGCTGGTTTACATCTCTCACCTGTAACGATTACTGGATTTTTAAAAACCAAAATTAAAACTAAATAATCAGAGGTCATAACGAAAATAATTAGCTGAATTAAAATACCTGTCGCGATTTCTCAGAGCTGTGTGTGTGCTGCCTAAAAACTGTTCATTTTTACCAACACCATCATTTTTTTTTCTATATTGACGAATTCGAAAGCTGGACAAGCAATCTTACTGTAATTTCCAATGTGAGGGTTTTTTGGGGGGTCCAACAAAAAAACAAATAAATAAATAATCACACTGTAGCGTTGTGTTTCTGTCTGTGGGAGATAACAGCATGTTCACTATTTCTCAGCCATCAGTGCTGAAATCTTTACAGTGTCTATTTCTGTTGTGTATTTTATTCCTCAACAGTTGAAATGTGTGGGTTTCCTTTTATAGCTTTGGCAGAGCGACAGCTGAATAAGTCCCATCAGATAAATCTGCCTCTACAATCTATATATATGGAAAAAATATATATATAAATATATATATATACAGATCTCCTTCTCCACCACCACCCACTGAGAGCTTTCCACTACAGGCTGAGAAGATAGCGAGGGAGTTATTACGCTCTCTACTACACGCCGTCCTTTTATTATGAGGCCTCTCGGCGTCTGCCTCTGATGCATTTCGTGATTGCCGGGTGCTGTCGTGTCCCTTTGTACCTTACAGCTCAATGAGCCCATTTCACGAGGGCAGCGGTCGAGGCTGAGAAGAGACGTGAAGGCTTTCATGTTGAGGTATCAAGAGGAGCTCGCCTCGTGTGAAATTCAAATAGGTTTCTGCCACAGATGGCTCTGTACCGCGTTTCACACGTCTCACTGGGACACATCTATAAATGCCTAAACCAACATTTTAGCTCATTAAAAAAAGGAGACATAAATACGTGATGTTTATTCCTGTAATCTCAACATGCTATGATCTGCACACATCATGGCTGTTTGACTAACTGTATCATATATCTGGGTTTTGAAGAGTAGATATTTTAAAAGCTGTTTACAGTTGAACTAATTAATTTGTCTGTTGATTAATCGAAACACTGTCACACCTCCTTACCAGAAAGCAAATATCAGTTTTATCTTTAACACTGAATAAGCAATAGCTTCCAGTGTGGGGAAAAATACACTCACTCGCCACTTTATTAGAAACACCTCGCTGGTATTGGGTTGGATTCCCTTTTGTCTTCATAAATAGATTCAACAAGGTGTTGGAAACATTCCTCTGAGATTTTGGCCACACAGCTGCTTATTCATTGCTTGCTCCTCCACATCCCAAAGGTGCTATATTGGATTAATATCTGGTGACTGTGGAGGCCATTTGAGTACACTGAACTCATTGTCATGTTCAGGAAACCACTTTGAGATTATCTGAGCTTAGTGACACAGCGCATTATTTTGCTGGAAGAATACAGGATGATACACAAGGTTGATTAGCCAGGTTAGATAAACCTTGAAGAAAAACCTATGAATTTTACATAGGTTTATATTATAGGAAAAAAGATGTACATGGTCAATAATTCTTTATGAAAGTATGCTTTTAAAATCATCAAATTAATAATAATTAATTAAGCAAGCTTCAAAATCTACCCTGCAAAGTAGTTTACTAGGGCATCAAATCAAACGCACATCATAAAACAATCAGGTCTAACAAAAGTGTCACGAGTTATGGAGTGTAGGAGTTCTGAGGTACCAAATGCAAACAAATGAACTAAAAATAGACCTTTTATTAGGCTGGTGTAATGTCCAGTAACTACAGAAATCTTATATACACTGTACGTGATGGTACACAGGAGGGTACACTGTGGTCATAAAGGGATGGACGTGTGCAGCAACAGTACTCTGTGGTGTTTAAACAATAAGAAGCGGGCCCAGAGTGTGATGGGAAAATATTCCCCACTACATTACACCACAACCAGCAGCACGATCTGTTGATACAAGGCAGGATAGATCCATGTTTTCATGTTTATCCTACCATCTGAATGTGGCAGCAGAAAATTGAGACTCATCAGACCATGCAACACTTTCCTAATCTTCTGCTGTCCAATTCTGGTGAGCCTGTGTGTGAGTTGTAGCCTTAGTGTTTTTGTTTGTAGCTGACATGAGTGGCATGTGCTGTGGTCTTCTACCGTAGCCTAGCTGCTTCAAGGTTTAATGTGTTGCGTGTTCAGAGATGCTCTTCTGCATACCTTGGTTGTAACAAGCAGTTATTTGAGTTAATCTGGTCATTCTCCTCTGACCTCTGAGATCAACAGGGTATTTTAGCCCAGAGACCTGCAGCTCGCTGGATACTTTCTCTTTTTCAAAGCATTCTAAGTACACTGAGTTGGTGTCATGTGATTGGCCGACAAGCAGTTGAATGGGTGAACCTAACAAAGCAGCCAATGAGCGCATATAACTTTAAATATAAGCATTCATATAACTAAAAGCAATTTGTTTTCTAACTTTAATTAAATCAAACAAACACTGATTAAAAAATGATTTAGCCTCTGAATTTATCACTTTAGATTTTCACATTCCAACTACATGGACAGAGTTTTCAATGCACTATATTGTAAAGTTTTCTAAGGTGCTAAACCTCAATATTCCAGTGTTTCATTTTTTTTAAACGTTTTTTTTAAAGACATCCTTGAAGTTACAAGTTTTGTAACAGAAATTACACATGCACACACTTTCCACGCATTAAGAACGCAGTGTGAAGGTGCTTTTTACCTTAATGATCAATGGTGTCAAATTTGGACAACTTTACTGTTACAGTAGATAAGACTGTCTGCTAGTAACATTTACATGTAAACAAAGGAATAAGGAACCAGACTGATCAGTGATGAAAGCTGATGGAACAAGAAATGAGGTGTTTGAATGGAAATACCTTAATCCTGCTGAGAAATGGCCCAGTATAAACACATAACCTTTAAATACATAATTTTGGTCATAACTCACTGTATGGCAGTGCAGACTGTGGGAAGGTCCAAGCAAGTTATGTCCGCATAATTTATGATTTCTTTTGTTTACTTTTGTTTTTAGTCTTAATGTGATGAAGAAATCAAATATTCGGAATCTTTTTGTAACTTGTGCTAAACTGGGATTAATGGTCTAACTACCATACAAACCTTTAAAGCTTCTTTTTTCCTCCCTTGAAACAACAATGTGTTATTTAAGATACAGATGAACAAGGCCCTACGCTATCTTCTTTTCCTCTCTGAAAACCTAGTAGTATCGCCATCTTTGGCGGAAACAAGACATTTGATGCCATCAATCACACAATGACTGACAGGCTGGCTTCTTGAGATCGAACCCCAAACACCTTCACTGCCTCCACAAGGCCAGACAGACAGCAGTCTGCAGTATTAAATGTGCCTGACAGTGAAATCCTCAAAAGGTAGCAATACAGGTAAAACGTCTGTGTGTGTGTGTGTGGGGGGAATCTGCAGTCCAATCTTCTCATGGAAACACTGTTATCTACACAGAAACACTGCAATGTTTCCACATAGATAACGCTGTAGTCCTCTGGGTCTCTTTGACATTCACACTGCACATTTAGTAAGTGTCCTGTGTCGCTAAACAAAGAGCTGATAAACATTAAATTTGACCTGAATTATACCTCAGCCACATTTTGATTAACATCTGAGTGCAGACAATACCAAATCAAAAATTTAAAACAAGTGTGGAGACATTTTAGAGTCGGACAGTTAGGAACAAATCATGGATGATGAGTATTTTTTATAACAGAAGAACACGTGCCAAACCTTTCTACGTACCTCAACGACAGGCATCTGTACGTGTGCACAATGTTCCTATCCTAAAATGTCACCGTTATTTTGTGTGAGCAGCAACATTACTATCTGTGTTTACACTGTAGTACTGCTACCTTTACTTACGTAAAAGATCCAAATACTTGAGCTGTTCAATCTTTCGAGATCTACATACGTGGATGTGTCACTGTAATCTTCATGCAGATGTTTAAGGAAAAGCATGAAGATTTCATGTGGAGGCACTCGGGAGCATTTTGTCAGGTTTATGCAGCTTTTAAAAAAATTGATTGGTTGATTCTCAGTGCTCTTATCAGCCGTGGGTTCATCTGCGAACGTGCAGTAGATGCCCAGCAACACGAGCAAAATGTGTGTTTCACTTTATAGAAACTTGGTACTATTAAAAGTTCACATATACGCTGAATTTTATCAGGTAGACGCAAACACAGCTCCAAATGATCCCAAAGTTGCCTCATATCTGCTGGTTATATAAATTAGCAGTATTGGTACAGCCATGTGTGTACTTTGCTTTCATATTATGTTTACTTCTGCAAAGTTGACAGAAAAATGTGAAAAAGATTAACGTTCACTAAACCTGCTAAGCTTTTTTACATCTTCCCAGAAACTGAGATGAGCTCCCATGTTGGAAGTGTCTTGCTCATGTGGTAATATTGGTGTCCGAAGGGTGTTTCTTGTGTTTTGCATTGCTTAAAAACAATGAATATTTTACCATTAATCTTTTTCTTTGGCAAAAATCACAGTAAACATGATTTTGCACAGAAATACTTGACAACAGTTTGCTTTGGATTGTAATGCATTCTCCCAATCCTTAATGTAAAGCTTCTCTTTTCCCCACCCCAGTATCAGACTGATAGTAACAGAGCTACACATCCATAAATGGTTAACGGAGCAGTGGTATTCAGGATGCTACAGTATGTGTAATATTTTCCAACTATTGTGAGAGTAACCTGCCTGTCATCATTACAAACAGCAGGACACATGCTTTGCCCAGCGCTTTGTGCTTTTATATGGTTTTAAGTTGAGCAGCCTTGGTCTCAGTTCGGAAACCCTCTTCAGAGCTGATGGGCACACTCATAATTTAAAGGTGAAGTATAAATATTAATGACACGGCTCATTCAGAAGGACACTCTTCCACCAAGGATGTCCTGTGCTACTGAGATGAAGCCCAAAGGTAAAAAAATAACAAAACACTAGTGATGGAACAAAAAGTTCACCTATTCAAATATTTATCTGAACAAAGGGTGGCAGAGGGGTGCAACGCAGTTGGTGATGCTGGTGCTGATGAGTGTGCGTGACAGCGAGGGATCACATCAGCAAAGGCGATGAGGGGATGATGATGAGCTGGAGGAGGACAAGGGTGAGGGGGTGGGGTGATGCCTTTAGGTGCAATGCTGTTAGATGAGAATAACGCATCTAACTTAGCGGCTACTGATACAACTGGAAGTGTCGCATAATCTTAGAGGGGTTTTGTTTTAAGGAGACGGAAGCACATAAAGATGGAGGTGTGTGTGTGTGTATACACAAATTATAAAGCCAGTTACTTATGTGACATTTCCTTCACTACATGTCCTTTTATAGATGTAAGTTTATTTTACCCTGGAGGCTGCAGGCATCAGTCCTAGGGGATATGAGTTATGTCACATGTTGCCAAAAGAAACAAACCGAGACAAATTCGATTAATTTAACTATTAATTAACAACACTTAGCAACATTTTATTTTGTCCACTGAAAACCATGTTCGCCGCTTTCGGGAACAGGAGGACACTAACAGGGCAGGCGGTCTATTTGGGGATAAGGCAAATATGCCCTAAAAAATTAAACCTGCCCTGTTGTATACAGTAATTCTTCAGAGATGAAGATGTAATATAAATTGAACACCCAACCCATAAGTGACCTTATCCGCAGTGATTGGATTTAAACATGCCACAGTTTGTCACTGCTTTATGTAATCATCAAACTGTCACCTTCCCTCAGGGTGACTTGACAATCAATCCAGTGCGCACCTGCCTGCTCTCCTACTTATTCATCACCGTTAAGTGTTGGAATAATGTACATGTATTTCTACACACGTGCATCTGCAGCTGTACCACAGGTATACATATGTAATACATACATCTTTATTTTTTCTCGAAGACAAACACATGAATTATGCAGCGTTTCTACTAGTTTCATGTGGCTTTAGTTGAGAGAAGCACTACCTTAATACACATCTAAGTGCGTGTGTGTGCGTTTTTAAACAATTTCCTTCTGGTTTCTCCTCCTCACTGCCAGGATGCAGAGAATTAATCATCATAAATCTTTATGTAAGAACGAGATAATAATAATTTAGCATCTAAGTGGGCACAGCAGCGGCATTTCTCATTCTTGAGAGCAAACACACATGGGTGGAAAGTCAGATTCATTATACTGCGAATGTGAAGAGAAAGAATGTGTTTTACATTTTATTTCAATCTTACGAGATATCCTACAGCTGATATTTGTACGGATTTATAGAGTAGACGCACGCAGGCGCGCTCAGCCTCTGTGTCTATATTAAGGTCTCACCTGGTGCCTGGATGACCTGCGCGAGCCAAATGACGGCGACCAGCCCGACTCCACAGCAGCAGAACCGCTGGAAGGGCCGCCGGTGCCTCGCTGCTGCTTTCATTCCTCAGCCGGCCGCATATCCACCAGAAACATCTGTTGCTCTCTTTTACTTGTTTCACACTTTTACACCGCAAGAAGCTCCGAACAAACCGCCAGCAGTAGCAGGAGCAGAAAACGACTTCTCTGACAAGTTGTGTCAAAAAAAGAAAATCCCCGCAAACGACAAACCCGTTTTTTTTAATTTTCCCCCCTCCAGGCTCAGAGGAGACGTTTTGCTGGTAAACTCATCCAAAGGTCCGGGTCGCACATAGCGAGGAGAGGCGCAAAAAAGCTTTCCGCCTTCATGTGTACAGTGTGAAAGGTCGACAGCAGATCCCACAGTGAGCTGCAGCAACAGGAGGCGACATGCTCTGAGCCCTGTGTGCCTTCACTCTGCCTGTCTGCTCACGCTGTGGGCTTCCCCCGTGCGGCCACCAGGCGACGACAAACGCAGCCGATGTCGAGCAGATGACATGTGGTTGATATTTCCACTTTTCCGAGCTGCAAGCTGTGGCTTATTAAAGCAAAACACTGCAAGGTGTGACGGACACCTCTCCAGAAGAACTGTATGATTTAACGTCCCCTGGGGCAATGCTCTGTCTACACCTGATTGGCTGAGCGCACCTGGTTCACCTAATTACAGGGGTGCAAAGCGGGGAATGATGGAAACTGGAGCCGAATGCTTTACAGTATTTTAAATAATCGCGTTCACATCCAGGGAACCTTGAAGCGGCTCTAAATATTTTCTTTCTTGTACTTGTTTATAATTTGAAATGTGCAAAAAAAAACAACAACCTTAAAACAGAAGATATCCTGACCTTAGTGCATCTCTTTTTAAAGAGAGACCTGGCAAAGAGAGCAGCAGAAGTTACAACAAATTTAACACATTCTAATAATAACAAGTGAAGAAACAAACACATCGCATATTCAGTACATTTAATTATTTTTCTTTAAAGGTACAGTGTGGAAAATTTCACCACTAGATGTCAGTAGATTGCAGATTGCAGTCAACTGAATTCTGTTTTCCTCTCAGTTCAGTTACATAATCTTATCTACTGTAGTCGCTCTAGGAAAAACAAATCTGGTGAATGTAGGCTTTAGGTCTGCTGTTTATTCAGCCAGTGCCCATGTCTATTTACGCTAGGAGGATGTAAATCTTTGTGAAAGGAGTCCGATACAACTCAATTAGTCAAATAAGTTCCCTTCTGATCAGAGGCAGCAATACTGAGGTCAGTTGTTGAGGACATCTTTTTCTGTTAGTAAGCGCTGCAGTTTTTGCTGCTGTTAGCTGCTGTTAGCTGCTGTTAGCCTTCGTTGAAGTGGATATAACATTTTCAGACTTGGATACTTAGTGAATAAACTCTCTTAAGATGTGAGAATATAATCAAACTGTTTATTAGAGGGAAAGTGTCCTTTTTTATGACACTCAAGCCTAACATTAGTTGTTAGGCTAACTTATATAAGTTAGCATTTAGTGCTAACTTTTAACCAGCTGTTGTCGTTGTCTAGCCAGCTCATTGTCAGCTGTCCAGATACATCAAGGTTGCAAGCAACTGCAACAATATTGGGAATGAATAAACATGTTTATGCACATTTTTGTGTATTAGAGCTCTGTCTTCAGCTCAGGAGATGAGGCTTGAAGTGAGGAGGAAAAGGATAAAGTGGAAGTGAAGGAGGAGAGAGAGGAGTGGTGGAGGAGGAGAAAAACATAATGAGAAAGAGAAAACATACAGTATGAACATATAGACTTTGAAGGAGCTATTTGTGAAATTTAAATTAAACATTTATTTCAATTCAGTTTTCTTTATATTACACCAAATCACAACAACAATTGCCTTAAGGTGGTTTTGTAAGGTAAAGACCCTAAAATAACAGAGAGAAATAATGAAAACACCAAGAATCAGATGATCCCTTATGAGCAAATGCTTTGGTGACAGTGAAGGAAAACCTCCCTTTAACAGGTAGAAACCTCCAGCAGAAACAGGCTCAGGGACGCATGGCCATTTGTTGCAACTAGCTGGGGATGAGGGGAGGTAGACAGAACACAGACACACTATGGAGGAGAACCAGAGATTAACAACTACTCATGATTAAATGCAAAGTGGTGTATAAACACAGTGAGTGGGGAAAAAAGGTGAGTAAAGAGGAACCTCCCCAGCACCTTAGCCCTATTGCAGCATAACCAACTATAAGCTAAACTAACCTAACTATAAGCTTGATCAAAAAGGAAAGTTTTAAGACTAATCTTATAAGTAGAGAGGGTGTCTGCCTCCCGAATCCCAAATGGGAGGTGGTTCAACAAAAGAGGGACCTGAAAGCTGAAGGCTCTGCCTCCCATTCTACCCGAGGAACCGCAAGTAAACCTGCAGTCTCAGAGCAAAGTGCTCTATTGCAGTGCTACAATCACTGTTGGGCAAGTTACTTTGAAAAAGTAATTAGTTATAGTTGCTTCTTCAAAAAAGTAACTGAGTTAGTAACTGAGGTGATTTGCTTTTGTCATAAAACGATCGCTTGTGTTGTAAATGACTTGTTAACCTATAATCTATCAAAAAACATCTCTCATGCATGATATTAAGTTATTTGTAAACAGAAAACACATTTCTGTTTACCAGTAGAAGCTGCAATCAGGTTTTGGAAATGTGATTTTTAGATATCAGATTGAAAAATATCACCTTGAAGATTTGACCAAGAGGGTAACACAAAATGCAATAAATATATAGTGTAATGGTTCTATTGTGGCCAAAAAGGACTGGAGTAATTACAGTGCGGAACACAGAGCAGTTGCAAGACTCAGACTCACAAGAACACTTATAAAATAGGTAATTTATTTTCTATAGTACCCCATTCATTATTTTCGTTGACCACAGCCTTTTAACCCCTTACCCACAAGGATCAGCAGTCTGGCACAACTAGTGCAGAAACAGCCAGCAGGGAGCAACTCTTTGCACAAAGGAGGTCATGTTGTATTTAAGTCTATAGGAAAGTTCACCTTATATATGACCTCAGCAAATGCTTATCTTATGACCTTGTGCTCTCAATCCCTTATTTCATTGGCTATGGTCAAAATGCCAAACTCAAGTCCAGATGACCAGTGGTTAACATCATATCCATCATTTATATAATCAGGTTTGAACCTCATGAGTTTTCTCTGATTACTCCAGCTTCCTCCTGGCCAGATAAATGCAATTTTACGTTTTTATATCCAAGGCTAGCAAATGGTTTCATTTCCCTCCTTGTAAAACATTTAGGTATGCCAAAAGCCCAAACAAACAATGACAGGAGCAGACCAGAGACCATGTTGTGAGTTGACCACACCAGCCAGAACAACACCCATCATGGAAAATATTAAGTTTATATCCTAGGTGAACATTGCACAAGACTAAACATTTCAAATAACAGAACAAGATGGTAACAATCCCATGAACTCTGACGGTCCTCCACACAAGATCAGCTCTCCACGAGTTGCCAGCAGATGTAAAATGGTAAAGATCATTAGTTGTGTCCCTCAGCAGCATTGGGTGTTTTGTTCTTGTCTTTTTTGGCCTTTTGGTAAAATTGTAAAACGCATAAAGACATAAAACTAAAAGCAAAGATTTGAGTTTGCAAAACAAAGCAAGGTGAGAATGGTTTCATTAAGAAGTGTATTGGAGTGTGTGTGGGGGTTCTCACTGTATCATCTTATGCTGTTTTTGTATCCATATCAGTGCCATGTAGTGATGCATCTGGCCAGCTCACTAACAACAGCATCCAGATAAAGGTAGTGAGGTAGTGGAGACCTCACTGAATGAAGTATAATTAGCTGCAATCATTTATTCTATTTGCTAATCTCCCCATAAAGTTGTTCCTAATTAATTAAGCTGCATAGTGCTGTGCAGATGTTGCTTTCCTTGTGTCCACTTCCTCCCCACTGCAAGCGGCTGGAGGAGATTTCGAAGCTTCATTTCTCCAGCGAGCTCGCTCTCACAGGAAATGTCCACCCTGACAAGTCACATAATATACTTTTGTTATTATTAGCACAAGTCAGCCAAAAGAGTCACGTGGCTCGTTTGCAACACCAAAAAACTCGAGACAAGTGATAAATTTTATTTCAGGACACTCAACTTCAGATTCAGATTTTCTGCTTTGACGAAGATTAAAGAGAAAGAATGAAAAAGAAAACATATTTAACTTCTCTCTTTTCTTCCCTATTTTCTCATTCCCAGTTCTTGACGTAATGCAAAATAAAAATGACAGAAGTGTGCATGGATCATCTGTATGCAGAAACAAAGGCTACTTGTCACATGGAGACCTTCCAGAAACAGGGTGAAGATGAAGAAACACTCCTGCAGTCCGGTCTGCTAGTAATCCACCCTGCCAGGTTTCCAGAAAGCACACAAACCCTTTTGCGTAAAATGTGGATGGACTGTACGATAGAAGCGGTCTGGCTAATGTCTTCTTTTAAAAAATTAAGACCTTAAAAAAAGACCCATTTTCACTTCAGGAGAATGAAAAAAAAGGTGAAGCAGCCTCATTCAACACCAGAGAGCCTGCAGCGCCCTGGTGTTTTTCATTTTTAATGTTTAACTCCAGAGTTTTTGGCAGGCTGGCAGGACTCGGATTAGTTTATCACTGACTTGTAGGTGTTGTTTTATGAAGTATATCACTTATTAACAGACTGCTTGCTTTACAAAACTACTGCATTTGTCCGTATGTTTGCATTAGATCAAAAGAAGAATGCAGTGCACAACCTGAGTAAATCTAGTATTTTAAATTGTTAAGATTTAGATTTTATTTGAGATATATCCGTAAAATACGTGTTTTCACTTTTCACTTGAGTGAAATCCAACCGAGTAAGAGTATTTTTCCAAAACACAAATCTTCCGTTTAACCTTAGACTGGCCCGCATTAGCCTGCCTACATAAACTGTTGGGTATATTTTTAAATACATTTTAAATACATTTTAGGAAAACCATTTATTTTTTTTGTTTTTATAGATGGGTATCAAATCAAATCTAATCTAATGGATGTGACTCATCTATTGTGAGTTTAGTTTAACTAATGGCAGGAAGTCTACACGAGCATTGCAAACTTACAGCAGGTTTCATGTACTTGTTGTGGCCTGGCCATTTAAAATCCAATATACAGCATACACACACATTCACTCTCCCTCCCTCTCTCTCTCTCTCTCTCTCTCTCTCTCACACACACACACACACACACACACACACACACACACACACACAC